ATCGTCGCTGTCGGACCTCTTACTGGCCGGGCAGCTCCGCTTTCTGTGCCCAAACTGGACAAAGCTCAAACGCTTGCCCTTGAATCCGCCGTTATTGCGTGGAGGACCACCCTTTCGTCCAATGTCCCTTCCAGCTTTGAATCTTTTAGCGTTTCCATTTACGCGAAACGCTTTCTCTGTAGCTTCCTTCTTTAGCAGCTTCTCCGATTTCTTGGGCAGCTTCTTCTTGACTTCAATCGACGTGATGTCCTTCGTATTCTCAACAATCGACGAAAGACTGCTGAGAAGAACCATCAGTTGACGTGACTTATCAAATGGCTCTTCCGTAGTCTGGAGTCCCACTACCAGCTCATCAAAAGAGTCCAGATGCTCTGCCACGCTTGTCCCACTTTCCATCTTTAACTCGTGCAGTCGACGAGTCATCACCACACGGTTGAAGAGTCGAGCGGTTGTAGAAATCGCATAGGGTTCCCCATGCTTCCTTGGCGCGCGTAGCCGACCGAATCCTGGTCTGGTGCTAGATCTTAACGCCTTGAGCGATGATGCCGACGTCTTGGCATCATTTGCCAGACAGGCCTCTGTGCCGTCTCTCTCATCCTTGACGGCCATGATGTGCTCCAGGAAACCCTTCCGCACCTGAGTCATCCTCATGTTGAGCTCCCAGTGGTAGTAGCTACCACTCCCTAGGAGGACTTCGACTCGCTTGTTGGTCTAGTAAGCGAGGACGCTGCTTGTAGAGAAAGGCTTGGTGCGGCTGTTAACCTGTTGAGTAGGAGGTAAAATCCGAAGTGAATATATTGAGGTCCTTAGTTCGCTACTCTGTGCTACCTCTAAGCCTGTCTTTATAGATCCTTCTAGAAGCTTCTGTAAGCATCATGATTTAAGTAGACCAACTAACGCCAACCATTATGTAATTTCTTACTGTGACGTGCTCGTAAATATGGTGACGTCATCTGCCTGTTCAACACGCATTCAGTGGGGTAGTCTCAACACAAACGCAGGGGTCACCTCAGCTCTCACATCAACTATTATGTCGTGATAACAGTTTAAGTCGTCTGAAGTCGTTCGCCACTCGGATGTGTAACCCTTACACGCCTTTACGCGCGGTCATATTACTCACACCCAAAACATACGAGCGTCAAATCATTGTTCCGCGCATACCACCCGCACCCCCACGAGTAGCTGACTAAATTGCCGATGGGTATCAGACTGAATTCACGCACTGGATAAGAAAACACGCTCCTCACCCGACTTAAAGGCATAAGAACTTTCGCTAAGCGGAGATTTGCCTAGCATGCTATCTCAATCTTGACTTTGCAAAGCACAAAGCACGACGCAGACGTCGAGGTGATAATCCACCACCTAATATTTATGCCGTGTATCGACTATAAGACAGCTGAAGCAGCTGCCGATCAATGGTCCTATTCACGGCAAGTTTGGCCACCACCAGCTATTGGAAACTGTGATGCGGCGGTAGACGCTACCTCTTCTCCAAAAGAGAAAAAACCGAGGGTGTGCCAAGTCGTCAGCATCCACGTCGGTTCAGTATCGCTGACGAACTAGGGCCTCAAACTCCCATAAGATTTTAACTGAAAGGGTCCTCCTGCTTCATCAAGAATCGAAAAAAGTCCTGGTGTACCCGCTGGTCCACTAAACGTTCGACGTGAGGTTTGGGCACCCTATGCCCTTCGACCAGTATAGACGGAGGTCGCCCTCCCTGCGGCTGACTCTCGACGGCACGTCAAGTCTCTCCGAGGGTCTCGTGATGCGTCCAGCAATATACTGAATCACAATTCGTTTACGACTCTAAGCTACACTATAGCACTGCGTGGCTCGATGCACTTTATGTGTTGCTGCTTTGGAGCAGAGGGTAGATCAGCTACGGAGATGGTGAAGACGCTATTCTGCCTGCGACAGAGATCATTACATTCGACTTGCTCAAAGTAGTGGAGTTATCGCATGGTTTCAACAAGTCAATTACTCTATCCAATTCAGTAGCTACAACTGTGAACGGTCCGATGCAGCGCGGTTTGACTAAGTCC